TTTCAATTAGTGGAAAAAATTGCAGGGGGGAATTAAAAAAAAGGTTTAGGTTACAGCTATCCTATACTTGTTTGACCTCTTTTCTCTGGTTAATTTGTCATTTATGTTGAAGACTATCTCGAAATATAAGTAATGTTTGCAGAATTTTAAACAATGTTATAGTGCTAATTCATATTTCCAAAAAGAGAGAAAAACTTTTTAAGATTAGATATTTTATGCGTCAAATCTTGATATTCTTTCTCTGACTTTTTGAAGAACTAAAAAAAATCTAGAGTCTATGTTTCTGTTCTGACAATAAACTTATTGGAACAACAATGAAACATTTTTTTATTTATATCTTCTCATTTCCGCTCTTTTGTCAGATATTTGACTTATTTTTACTCAGAAACACAGATCTGCATTGATGACTAAAAGACACCTTCTGCCTCCATTTATCTGTTTGTGTTGAATTCATGTTAATGTGTATTTATTAAAAGATGGCACGGGGGAATATTAAAAGAAAAAAGTCTAATTAACAAAAACTTTCTCGACCCCCAGGTTGTACCTGGTAGTTGAAGGCCAGGATTGAGAAGCACTGATCTAGAACACTGTTATCTGGAACCATCTCCACAGTGGAGCATGGTGGTGGCAGCATCAGGGTGTGGCAATGCTTTTCTTCAAGGCAGATGGGAAGTTTAAAACTGCACATTTTTCCTATTTCTAAACAGTTTTGTACTACTTTGAGCTTGTTTCTACATATACCAATGAATGTAAGGTAATAAACTGTTAATGTTTAGGGGTGTGAATACTTTAGCAAATGACTACTATATAATGGTTATTGATTATTTTCTGCTATCAAGGCAGGCATGTATACATTTTTAAATAGCAAACATTTTATCCTGTAACAAGCAATTACAATTACAGTCACATCAGAGCAGAAACCCCTGGAGCCCAGCATTAGGTAAACAGCTTCATTCAACTGAGCATAGAGTAGTTTATTATAGAACCTACCACCCCGGTCCGCTCTGAGCTCCATCTGGAACATTGTGTCTGTAGCTGTGTATTCCCGACAGGTAGGCACCGCAGTCCAGCAAATAATCGACCGATGGCGCTTCGTGCCATCTCTAAACTCCTACAACTCTGAGCAAAAACACAATATTTGGAGATAACGCTGCGGCGAACGATTCGTTTTCTAATGCTGTAACCAAAATGCTGCCGCTTCACTAAAACCGATCTGCTAAAACAATTTCTATAAACGCCTCCTCCGTTTTTCTTAATTCAACCAACTCAAAGTACTCTTCTCATTCATTAATGTTGTTTTCCCGGTGACTTTCATGTGTCACGGTGATCCACGGGTTCTGTTAACTTCCGCTATTACGCCGATTCGCCGGTTCCAGAGTCCCCTCCTCGCTCCGCGCGCGCTTGTTCAGTGCTCGTTACCAGAGCAGCGCGCGTGCAAGAGAACTACGGAAACCGCCAATGCTCAAACAACTCACAGTATGTAGGCGAAGTTGTCCAACCTTTTTTGGCAAACGCTGTCACGCAAAACATTTTCTCTATCTATCTATC